GTAAAAGGGGTGTAAAGGAAACATGATTGCCTATTTATATAATTGATATGCAGATGATGGAATATCTATCTAATAGTTCATACCTAGCTCAAACAAATTTATCGAAAACAACTTTAGCATTTGTTTCCATTTTTGTTGCCTTATTTAATATTATTAAAATTTGTGGAAAACGATTTTTGGGTTATCTAAAACTTTTGGCTAAACGCGTAATTTCTAAATAACCTCCGATCGGGCTCAAATTTTATATTTCATAATTCTGCAACCAACATCACGTGTTTAAATGGTATCCTAATTAAAAAGTCGTTTTTTTTTTGCCTTCATACAAATTATGTTCTCCTTATTATATACATTTATTTATATATATATACGTTTATTTCGGAAAAAAGGATCTGCTACGTTTTTGGACTTGAAGATTTGGAATCCCGGGGCTATTTCCAACAAATTTGCATTATCAGAAAGTTGGTACGTTTTCGAAAATCCTATTCGTGCTTGAAGACAACTGTGAAATGTCATTTTTGTCGCAACGCCGATTTAGGCGGTTTTGCTACACACAGAAAAAGTCAGCTAAATAAATTGCTGTCAACACATCATTCGGTAACTATAACCAAATAATGTAATTATAACTAAATCATGTGTTGAAGAAAACATGTTTAGTTGACGTAACTAAACTCTTTTCTCAGTGTACTGGTCGATGGGCGGTATTGCGAAACCGCGACGATAAGTATATTTTTGCAAACAACGACGATTTGTATATTCTACAACAATAGTTTCAGTAATTTTGATAAAAAATTTCACGAATCCGTTCAAACACGGTTTATAATATCCCGATATTCGGATTTTATCCGTATACGCCAATATCCGAACAGATAATCGGATATCAAAACATACGGATAGTGCCAACCCTAGTGGAAACAGATATACATAAGAATGTGTATAAGTACGTAGCATTTATTTTTCCTTTCTTATTTTGTTCAGCGAGCAGAGTTAGCTATCACTGACTTGACAATAACATCGGAGCGTGAAGAAATTATTGACTTTTCAATACCTTTCATGAATTTGGGTGAGTGTTGAATGAATAAGTTTTTCTCAACCGCGCATTGGTAAAAACTGAGCAAAATACTTTCATTAATATATCTTCATATTTAGGTATCGCGATTTTGTATATTAAACCTCAAAAAGCACCACCAGAACTTTTCTCATTCATGGATCCTTTCTCTGGCGAAGTTTGGATCTACTTGGGACTGGTATACATTGGAGTATCCTTTTGCTTTTTCATATTAGGACGCCTATCTCCAACAGAGTGGGATAATCCATATCCATGTATTGAAGAGCCTGAAGAATTAGAGAACCAATTTACGCTAAATAACTCATTTTGGTTTACGACAGGCGCTTTTTTACAGCAAGGTTCTGAGATAGCACCTAAGTATAGTTATAGTTGTCACATTTATTTGCCCTTTTTTTTAATATATATAATATATTTTCATATAATAAAGATCGCTCTCCACACGCACTCTTGCGTCCATTTGGTGGTTCTTCACTCTCATTATACTCTCCTCGTACACGGCTAACTTGGCTGCTTTCCTTACCATCGAAAATCCTGTTGGACTTATTGATAATGTCGAGGATTTGGCGGAAAATAAGGGCGGCGTTGAGTATGGTGCTAAACTGACTGGTTCTACAAGAAATTTCTTTGCGGTATGTGTTAAAAATAATTGCATGTGCATTTTGATCAAACCAAGGTACGTACATATGTATATATATAACAAACGGGATCAAGTTTGAAAGGGTTAAAAATTTTATGGCCTTATTCATAAAAAATAAAGTAGCTTTAAAAAAGGTTTATAAATTGAAAAATGTATGAAAACGTCACTTTGTAAAGCTCTTTAAA